TGATGTCATGGAGCAGAAGCCTTCTTTTTATCACCACCCTCTTCTGACTCCTCCGTGCACAGTCCTTGTGGGTTGTAATTTGCTGGCCTTTTCTTCTCCAGACAAAAACGATCAACAGATTAACCAAAATACACCAAAATATACCCAACTGGGAGCTGAGAGGAAGAGGAGGAGGCCACTGAGTGAAGATGTCAGTTACAGCTCCTGGCCTCACTGGAACTTACCATCTAGTGAGCAAATTCTTTCATTTTATTCCCCCTGGCAGGAAAGGTTTTTTTCTTTTTTCTCTCCCAAGCTGTTGCTCATTTTGGCAGTGTCTTTCCCATACCTCTCCAAGTTCTCTCAATTCTTTCTTCCTTTCCAAGATCCAGCTTGAACCTAGTACAAGAAAACAATAATCTTATTTTAAAAGATTTTTTAAATTCAAAAAAATATAACATCTTGCTTATATTATTTTAAAATTCAAAGGGGAAATCAGGGGAATTAGAGTCGGGGTTAGGTTCTGGCTCTGTCACCGCCTGGCTCTCAGACTTCTGGTGATGTCCCTAACCTGTCTCAGCCTCGATTAAGTTACTTGTAAAACACGGAGAGCAACAGCCGATTAAGGGCTTGGTAGGCGTGTTGGAGGCTAAGTGTGGGAATCTGTCTGTACTGATTTCTTCTTTCAGAGTAAAAAATGTAAAAATATAAGGATACTATTGTCTTTATATGAATTAAAAATGAAACGGGCCCATGGGTCTCAGGAACAGCAGCAACCCACACGGCATCACATCTGCCATCCCTTTCCCAGGCGGGACCGAGTCGGCCCTTCCAGGGCCCGTGGCCGGTGCCTGTCCTCCCCACCGGCCACTTTGTAGCCCCGTGTTGATAAACCTGCGTCTTCCATGGGTGGTGAGACCCTCGGGGAAACGTGGACACGTGTGTGCTGAGCTCGCGGCTTACAAAGCACACTCACGTGCACCGTCACATCATCTCACTGCAACTTCACAACGATCGAAGTTCTTGCCTGTCCTGGGACATATCTGGGTGCTTTTCCTAAGCCTTTGCCAGTGTCCTTGCTCAAGGTTCTGTCTGCGCAGCAGCTCTCTGGCCTCAGTTGTTAGAGAAACTCCGCCGACTCCTCTGTGTTGAGAAACACTCATTGGTGACTCATGTCTCGGTGAGCGGGAAATGGCTCTTTCTGCCGAGCATTGACTGTCGAGTTTACATCTTGGTTGATTCTGGAAGCTTGTGTTGTCTGGGCAGCTGTGCTTGGGTGGACAGGTGCTCTGTATTCCACCCCTTTAGGACAAAACACTGGATCCAGGAGAAGCCGATTCCCTAGTGCACAGGAGCAAGGACACCGTGACACTGTGTCTATGAGCAGTTTTCCTGATGGCAGCAGACTGGACCTCCCTGTCTACCCTGTTTTATCTCTGGTGACATACATGTGGGCTCTCTGTGTGTCCAGGGAGCAGATCCTTGCTGGCATCTTTGCCTGAATTAGAAATGGGGTGCCCCCATGCTGCCCTCGAGGGCGGGCTGGGGCCTATAGGGGGGTGTGGTGATCATTTTCCTCCCCTGTTCCTTGTACAGCTTGAGGACACCAGGGCAGGACGAAGAGGAAACACCCAGGCTGCCATAGGCCCTGCCTGCGCTAAGCCTTAGATATTTTTCCCCTTGGATTTATCTTTATGTGTCTCTTATACGCACATATGCACTTATTAAGGTATAATTGACATACAATAAACTGCACATAAAGTGAAAATTTTGGCATCTGTCAACACCCACTCGACCAGCACCACAATCAAGATTGTGACTATATCTGTCACCCTTCAGAACTTTCCCTGAGCCCATGAGTAATTTTCTACTGCTCTGCTTTCTGTCACTATAGATTAGTTTGCTGCTTCTAGAATTATGTATAAATGGAATCATACAGTATGTAGGTTTTTTTAAAAAAATTATTGAGATATAATTTACATACAATAAAATTCATTTGTTTTAAATGTATTCATTGGGGCTCTCCAGAGAAATAGAACCAATCATGCACATGTGTGTGTTCATGGAGAGAGGGAAGGGGAGAGGAAGATACTGGTTTTATTTTAAGGAATTGGCTCACACCACTCTAGGGGTAGGCCGGCAGGAGGAAAACTCAGGCAGGAGTCAGTGTGATAGTCATGAGGCAGAATTTCTTCTTCTCCTGGAAACCTCAGTTTTTTGCTCTTAAAACCTTTAACTGTTTGGGTGAGGTCTACCCCCATCGTTGGGGCTAATCTTTTTCCTTAAAGTCAACTGATCTACCAAGTACCTTCCCATCTACACCTAGAGTAAGTAGTACGTGATTAAATAACCAGGTACTAATGGCCTAGCCAAGTTGGTGCACAAAACTTACGTCACAACATACAATTTAATAGTTTTTGTCTATTTACTAAAGTTGAGCCACCATCTTCCCAATCAAATTTGTTTGATTGTGATCACATTGTTGATGAAATCATCACAGTTCCATCACCCCAAGGCCTTAAACACTTTTTCCTTGGGATTTAGTTTTCTGTGTCTTTTGTTTGCCATTGAGGTCATCAGAGAAAAAGGGAGTAGATACATCTGGTCTACTTCTCCAGCTCCTCTAATCGAATAAATTTGAGCAAGGCTCTTCCATAGTGGCCTACTGGTTGTCTATTTCTTTATCTGTATGTTAACATTGACCTCCCTCTCTAACAAGGTTTGATTCTCTGATTCACATTCCAGAACATTCAATTCTACTGACATGCACTGGGTCCTGCTCTGTGTTACATGTGTTCGTAGATGTCATCTCATTTCATTCTTACCACACCCCCTCGAGGGAAATAGGAGTTGGCCCATTTTGCAGAACGAGCGATGGAACCGAAGAAAGACCAAGTGCTGACACAAGCAGTCAGCGGTTTAACTGAGATCTGAAAAAAGTCCTTCTGATCCAAGCCCTTCCACCGCAGCCCCCCTGCCTGCTCCAGACACCGGCTACGCTATGTGCTTTAAAGAGCCTGCTACGGTGTCACGTGCCCGTGACTAAGCCTTGCCAAGGGGAGGAACGCCCGGTGAAGGTCCCAGCTGCAGGGAGCTTGGCTCAACAGACAGGTTCACCTGGAATTTCCACCCATCCTTGAGACAGGATGCAGCAAAAAGGCACTAGTATTTATGTCATGTTTGTTTGTTACCACTCTTGGAGTCCTTTGTTTCTAGAAAACTCGGTTAGAATGTGTCGGGGAAGGCATTCTTGCCAGATTTATCCCCTGTTGTCTTTCAGTTGCCAACATTGTCCTGCAACAAGCAGAAAGCAACCCAGGGCTTCTGCGGAGGAGGGACCTGGGGCACTTTGCCTGAGGCTTTGCGTCTCCTTTGCTCCTCCCCACCTCCTCCAGCTGCTGCCTGGCAGGCTCCCTGTCCTCTGCGACTCTGGCGAATGTCAAGGTGAGGCTCCACCTTCCGCTGTCATTTCCTGGCGGTTGATGTCATCAATCACTCCTCTTGTGTTCTCAAAGGAACTGGCCCCTCTTCCGTCTGGACATCCAAATGTGTCCTATGAGTTAGAATCTTGGTGCAGCTTCCTATTTCTCTTTGACTTCTCCTTCCTGCGCTTGAGGCTCTGAGCATTTACTGAGCTGAACTTTTCTTCTTCGTGGCTCTCAGCTCCATGCCGGCTGGACTGCCATGCTGGGGCACCTTTCCTCTGTTCTTTGTTTGAAGATCAAATCCCTGCTGCCCCTGCTCTTCATTTGATCTCCTCTTCCACTCTCTGATATTCCTGCTTAGAAAAACAACTACCAAAAACACCCAAGTCAAACGATTATGAAGGAAAGAGTATGGGAATTCTCTATGCATATTAGCACGAACTTGGGGCCTTGGGACATGATCCAAGATAGAAGAAATGTCAGCCTGCATGTGAGCATTTCCTCAGACTTCTGGATACCCGACTCTATGAAGCACCAACACTGCTCAGCCTTAAGAAAGAGCCAGTTTTATAAAAGGCTTATTATTCAGGAAGAGATGTCTCTTTAGATTCCCTGCAAAACCAGGGGAAGGTTTCCCAGAAAAGCTGGTTAATTTCTGTGCCCACCTGTTGCACACTCAGTGAATTCAGGGAAGTGATAGATTCTTGGGTCTCCGCTCACATGGATAATAAAGACAAGAACCAGTTGTTTTAAGTTCTTAAAAATAAGAAAGTGAAGGCACCAGAGCATCACTTAGTAGGTGATTTTTGTGGTTTATGCCATGGAAATCTGCATGTCCTGGATTTTCCAGGACAACCTCAATTTCAGATCTATTTATATAATCCTTGACAGGTCGCAAGTTCTGATTCTGGGCTCACAAAATATGATCACCTTGGTTATAGGTGAGCCTGTGCTACGTGAGGTCATGGTAGTAAGTAATTTTTCTTGGATGGCGCCAAACATGACTGAGTTCTACCAAACCATGTACTCAATGAGTCATATTATGGAGATGATACAGTGCAGTTACCAGGTGGTTCTGCTAATAATTAGAAACACATTTCTATATTTCATAGGAACGAAGAAAGGAAAACATCACCAGGAAAATTTTACATGTGGGGACAATTATTCAACAGGCCTTTGGCTGGGATTTGTGGATATGAACATAATTCAGAGGCAAAAATGAAATGCTGGAATAATACACGGAGATTTCTTCTGTTGATGCAGAATCCCAGAACACAGGAATTAACATTCAGCCAAGTCTTGATTATTCAAGGAATGATGACCCAATTTGTAGATTACCAAGCTTTTCCCTCCCCTCTCTCAATCTCATTGTCCAACACTTCTCAAATTTGAGTAATATATAGTTTTAGAAATTAAAAATTTAGAATTGAGGAAAAAAAAGAAATACAAAAGGCCACAATATTTCTTAAACTATAATTCTATTAAAATGTACATAAAACAAATTTAAGGTTAAATTCTTATGCTTTTATAATGCTTGCTTTAATAAAAATAATTCACAAAGTAAACAATTAAAACCATAAAATCAATGAAGTCAATATTAGCAACGTTAATTTACAGTGATGGATGATGTTGTTTTGCTGAAACAACACTGGAAAGTGCAATCTTTCCCATGTGACCAGGGGCAGAGGAGAACCAGATATTGGAAATCGGTGTTGGACATTCCCAACCTTCCAACTCCTCCTATGGACTCTGATACTTTTTGCCCAGGGATCAGTGAACCCTATGTGGAATTGAATTTCTTCTTCCATTCCGTATTCTAAGATCTCCTGGGGAAAGGGGGCAATATGAAACCAAAATGCATCAGATAACCCTTCTTGTTGGTAGGAGTTGTTGCTAAGGGGAATGTAGGGTTGTGCGTAGATTTCAACTAGATAAACTTTTGACCTCCTTTCATTGGTTTCTGGTTGCCGCGGCTGTTAGAGGATTATCCATAATGCTGTCTCCCCAGAACCGCCGGCCTCCTGCACAAGGCGGTAGCACGGCAGGCAGGCACATGCCCGCTCCAGAAACTCCCACATTGATTTCTGAATGACAGGAACACGTCTACTAGGCCTGCCTTACATTGTAAGCGGATCCACTTGAAAGCGCAGCCAGCTCGTGCATTGTGATGTAAATGGTGTTCCGCACTTTCATCTCCTAAGTGTTTCACAAACACGGACTAATTAATAATCCTCTTTCCAGTGCTGCCAGGGAGGAGTTGTAAGGAGAGAGTGATGGGTGGCTTTCCAGACAAACACATGTTAATTTTTATCCCAGGCTAAGGGGAAAGAAACAAAAACGTGTAGATCGGAATACTTACTGTGTCTGCCACGATGACATTTTATTGAAACTTCACAACGATCTTTGCAGGAAAACATTCTTGGCATAGAGGTCTCCTCACCACCATTCTTACAGATGGGGAAATTGCAGCTCATAAAGGTAACCTTCTGATAATCATATAGAAAGGAACAGAGGCAGGATTTGAACTCAGGTCTGCTGGTTTCCAAGGCTCATGTTTGTTCTGCTGCTCCTCAATGCAAAGAATGGAAGCCTAGCATTTCTACTGTATCAGTCGTTGTTGCTATTGTTGATAACAAGGATTAATATCAGTCGTTGTTGTTGCTATTGTTGATAATAACAAGTATTATTTCATGACCATAATATTTCAAATTTATGTAGCCCTAGTCTTCAAGGCACTTACAGTTCTGTGCAACTATTCTGCTTTTGCTCAGTTCAGAAACGGTAAATATTTGGATTTGGTATTAGGAGTCATTTTGGTCCCATTCCTGTTTTAAAAGCAATTTTTCATGGGTTCAAACTCTTGGGCTTGTGAAAATCTGGAATTGAAAACAATGCTTGCTTTGTCCTCAAAAGTCACAGCCATGACACGCCAGATGTTCTAGTCTATGATAAAAAAAATTTCTTATTAACTTTTAATGGAAGAAAACATAGGCCGGTGGTTAGGACACATCCTTTACTCTTTTTAATTTTCACTTGCAAAGAACTGGGACTGTGGCTTCTCCTGGGTGTACCCCTCACTTCCAAGCACGCCGAGTGCTTGAGAACTATTTCCTGGGCATGGTGCCCATCGTTCTTCTCCAGCTTTTACTGTTGGATCAGAGGGTATCCGTAAACAACTCATGGTCCCGTTGCTGTTCACTTTTTTGTCCTTAAACTGACTGGAGTGAACTCCATGCCTTGACTGCTTCCCTTCTTGGCACCTGTCAGATAAGCAGCTGGGGCTGTTGGGAGCAAGACATTAGCTGGCCCCAAGGCTGGACCAAGCGCTGAAGTCCTGCTCTTCCAAATATGCTGAACTAGAGATTGCGGCGTTTCAGCGCTCGCTCCGTTCCTGCTCAGGCAAGTGGGGAAGCTGGGATCCAGACCCAAGGCTGTGAATCTTTGAAAGCCCACACCGAAGCTGTGGCTGTTGTCGAATTTACTGAGCCTTTGTCACATGTAGGCACTTTACATATTCAATCAATTAAGTTTTTATGGCTATTCTAGGTGCTGCGAATATAGCAGTGATGTAAACAACCAAAAAAAAATTTTTTCAACCCTCATAGAGCTTACATTTTCTAAGATACATGTACTTTTTTATTTAATCCTAATAACTCTATATGTGTATGGTTATATATATACACATGTATAAATATACATATATGTGCATGGTTACTGTCCTTGTTTTGCATTTGAAAAGAATAAGACTCCATACAGTAGTTTATTCAAGATTACATAGTGAAGGATGGTAGAACTTGAATTGGAACCCAGGTCTCTGAATCTTAGCTATTATATTTCCATTTTATCACACTGTCTTCTGTTCCTAAAATATACAGAAAATACAGCTTTCCTGTTCAAAGTGGGATCAGCTTTAGGATAATAGCAAAGAACACCCCCTTCAATACTACCAATGGCGTGACGGTTCATGTGCCATTTCAACGGGTTTGCTGGAGCCAGGTGATGAATCCCTTTTTGTGTATTATTCATTATAATAAATTCCTGCTGGACGAGCACTTTTATTTGTTGTTTGGGGAACTGCCTGTATCATCTTCTTTGTATTTGGCAGGATCCAGTGGAGAAAGGGAAGAAGGTAGTCCCGGAGCTGGTTCTCAATTGCAAGGTCAAAGGGAAGCTGCTGCGTGGTGGAGGAATGAAGGAGCTCACAGCACAACATAGCTCCCCGTTTCTAGAATGACCACGGTGTACTGCAGAGAGTGTGAAGACACCCAGACTGAGATGCTCTTATAAGACCTTTTCCACCCCCCCACCCTCAGAAGCACTCAAAAGAAAATAGGATCGTGAGAAAGAGAGGCATGGCTTTCATCGTTTATGAAACAGGGAAAACAAGTTACCTCCAATCACAATTCACGAGAAAGGGATGGCAATGGCCGTGAAAACCAAGTAGGAATGTGCAAAGACTGAGAAAGAATGCTCCTGCTGCCGATGTCAGACAAAGCTGGTGGGACACCGTGGGACTGTCCTGAGCACCCAAATCAACAAGCTCCCGTTTGAAACAATTTGCATGAACGTGAGGTTTGACTGCAGACATGTCTCTGGGCTTACTTGGCAGAGAGGAAGCCCAGCGGGCAGAACCGAATGAGGGAATTGCCCAAACCGGCCATATTGGGAGACACAGCCAGTCAGGGAGGAAGGGTAGTCTGCATCATGGGCAATTGCACAAATGCTGGCTTATTTTGCCCAGGAAATAGTAAAATCTAAAATAGGTCCATCTCTCTCTGCTTCTCTCCCCCACCCTTCCTCTCATATACACATGCACACACGCCTCTGAAATAAGAATTCCTGCTAACCTGGTATGCAACCCTAAAGCCTACCCTCTCAAACTTCTGGCAAATAGCTGGTCCAGGGAAAACTCACTTCAATCAAAGATAAATATAATATTACCAAAATATATTAAAATAGGATTTATAGACCTATACTATGAGGGGAAAACAGGAAAAAGAAAAGGAAAACAAATGACAGTTGATGAACACTCGCCAGGAAACACAAAAGAACTTTTCATAGAGCCGATGGTAATTCTGATCAAGCTCATGGCCATAACAACAAATTAAAAAAACAAGTTTTCTATAAAACTATAGCTGAAAACAGAGATGCAACAGTTCAATGAAAATAAGCAACAAAATAGGAAATGATAGGATATATGAAAATAGTGAAAGAAAAAAATAAAACCATGTGAGAAATTTAAGGCCACGTTATAAGGCACATAAAAGAGGGCAAGAGTGAGAAATGTAGCAAGTGTGCAGATGTCCTGAGAGAGCAGAACAGAGAGACTATGACGGATCAGAATGATGGAGAATAGAGATCCCACATGTGCACGACTGGTGTCTCCGGCAGGAAAAACCAGAAGGAAGGAACAGAGAGTATATTTTAATATTATCCTTAAAGTCTTCAGAAATAGAAGAAAATAAGGCTTGACTCCACACATTGAAAGAGAACACTGTCTCCCCGGGGGGAAAACAAGGACACAGAACAATCAACACCAAGATACACCCTGGTAAAGTCGCTGGGCTTCGAATATAAAGACAGACAAAAAGGTAAGTAGGTGTGACTATGGGACAGTCCCAGTTTCCACCTGTTCGCCAACCATAATTATTCATGGTGTTCCCTTTCACTCTCAAAAGTGTCATGATTTACACACTGCATTACAGAAGTGCCTTGCTTATGTAAGGGAGAAAATAAAGAAGAATGAGAAAAAGAGGCATGGCTTCAGACATTTCCACGGCAACGTTCGTTCAATACTAGAAGATAATAAACAAAACTCTTTCGAAGTCCTCAAAAAAAATGTAGCCCCCCCCCAAATTTTATACTCAATCGGTCATTCATATGGAAATAATCTCTTTTTGATATGCACAAACCAAGGAGTATAATTCTGAGTCTTTCTTGAATTAATTGCTGGAAACCAATCTTCCGCTAACCAAGAAAGGAAAGGAGGAACTGTAGCAGTTGTGCCCCAATTTAAACTCATCTTTTTACTATAAAGTACCCTAAGGTGCTTCTCCCTGCATTCCCTACTTTAGTTAATGATATCACAAAATCCGATTGTGTAACTGGCAAATTGGGAGTTAACTCCCGCCACCCACCCTCCTCATTCTGACATCTAACTCGTCAATAAGTCCTGTCAAACTGTAAAGCCTTCAAGTCCTTCCTCTACTTTCCATCTCCATTGCCAACCCTTAGCAGAGGTAGCAGTTATTCTTGTCTGGACTATTGCAATAGTCCCCTGATTGCAGGAACAATTTAAAAACGTTTCACAACTGGTATGGAACAGGTGCTTACCATCCAGAAAGGATGCCAGTCGTAAACAATGGTCTAGCACACTGGTGCACATCGGCCATCTTTTGGCCCTTGCTTAATTGGTCTCCTTGCCTCCGATATCTACTAACTCCAATCCATAACCCACACTGTAGTTACTATGATTTTTCTAAAGTATAAAGTTGATCATGTCCCTCCTTGAGTAAAGTTCATTTAATAGCTTTATGCTACCTGCAGTATATAGTTCTCTGTATGAAGTCTAAACTCTTTAGCATGGTGAACAGGGTCCTCCTCCAGGACCTCATCCCCACCTAATTCTTAAAGTTTCCAATCTCATCACTCTCTCTCATTCAGTGCCCTGCAGCCACTCTGAACTTCGTGCAGTTTGTTGAATGCACCAAAGGCTCTCTGAGATTCGAGTGCATGGCTAACAAGTCATGTCATATCTGGAAAAGGAATGGAATGTATGTTCCCCTAAAAGGCCCATATTCTGATTCCGGGATTATATCTGAGCAAGAGAATCCATGTGGGGTAAGTTCCAGGGCCAAGCAACCTGCCCAACAGGCCACCAGCCAGAGGTCTCTTCTTCCCACTTCCCTTCCATCTTGACTGTCCCATGTTTGCTACACAACCAACCACATTACATTGTAGATGTACTTCATCTTTTTGTTTTTAATTAGTTGGCTTACAAGATAGTCCGTAAGGAGTGGATTCTCAAAGTGATGCCATTTCCTATCATTTGTGACAGACCAGCTCCCTCTCCCAGATGACAAGGTGGCACTGCCTCGGGGAATTGGGACCCACTTATGCAAGAAGCGTTTGTTGGGCATCTCAGGGACTGGGCTTGGTGCTCCCCATACAGCGTGGAGACTGGGACGGCCCCTGTCCTCATGAGCCTTGTCCTCATGAGCCTTCAGTCCAAAGTCAAGGCAGACAACAGGCAGGAAAGAAATGGACACGGATGATGACAAGGTCCCCTGCAGAGTTCAGTTACAGGGAATAAGCGAGGAAGTAGCATTGTCGCGGTCAACCCCCTGAATAGATGCTATTTAAACCAAGGCCAGAAGGATGAGGAGGCACCAGCCATGCAAAGATCAAGGGAAAGAACTTTCTAGGGAGAGAGCTCGTCTTCATTAAGAAAAGCCAAAATACAGGGGCTTTGTCAGTTAGGTGGCTGGAAATGGCATTGCATCTACTTACGTACAGAAGGCATAGGAAGATATCTATGCCTTCACAGAGAGAGAGGAAATAGCCCAATTAGAAGTATACTTGTGAATGTTCTGGTTGAAATCAGATAGGATCAAATTCCCCTAAATGTGCTTTGTGAATTTTTCTTTACGTGTCTCTGTTTTGTCCTTTCCATCTGGAGTGCTCACCATTCACTCTATTCCAAAATTTCTACCATTTGTAGGAGGCCTGGTCCAGCCCTGCCTTCCCTGTAAAGAAGGAACCTTCTGTGACCACCACGACTCCCTCTGCTGTCTCCTCTGAGCTTCTACAGGTACGAGCTACCTTGTGTGTGTCGTCTCCTTCCCCGGGCCAGGTGTCTTGCTCCTTCCTTGTGATGTAAAAATAGGTGCCAAGTCTTCATGCCCCAGCCTGCAATTCTGTACCCAGTGTCTGACGAGTCAAATGAGAATATGTGTTCATTGAGCAGTTTCAAATCAGAGTAGACTGCCCACCTCACTCAAGATTCCACACAGCCAAAATCTAACATAGCAAAAAGCATCCTTTGAGTTTTGGGTTTCCAATGAAGGAATTTGAACAGATGGATATATAGAGATGAATATATACAGAAAAATGAACTGAAGTCATATGTATTCCCTCCTTTAAGTGAATACCTTAGTAGGCTTTCCATGTAAACAAAAGTTACGGCAAGATTTCCTTAATCAGAGCTTGGGTCCCAGCAGTGATACGAAAATCCCCAAACTTAAGAAACAAGTCCCAAATTGAATTCCTACCACTTGAAAAAAAAAAAAAAAAAAAAAAAAAAACCAGCAAGGCTCTAATCCTTTTTACAGTACAAAAATTTTATTTTTTTGTTAGGATAATTTAAAGTTTAAAACTGAAGTAGACATATTCATTTTACAAACAAGATATTCTTTAAGTAAGACCGTTAAAAACAGTAAACAAAAAAGCTGTCTTTACAAAAAGCTCTGTGCATAGCAACTTTATACTGTATATAACTGACAAAGCAAAACAATTAAATGAAACTATACAGTTTGAAAATGAGACCTTACTGTACAAAAGGTAGAGAAGATAATGGTTTTTAAACCATGCATATTGAAATGTGCAAAGAAAAACTGAAAAGAATTACAATGCTATAACAACAAAAAAATGAGATAAATAATGAAGTAAATTGTCCCTTTAAATGAAAAATCTTACACAGCTCCTCTTACAAAGATAGGATAGAATTTGTAGTTACCTATAGAAATACTCGTATTCCAAGTGGCACAAAAATAACCCGGGACTGGAATGATTCAATAGCAATGACTAAAGAGGACAGGGTAGCTTTCTTTTTAATTTATTAGTACACTAAAAATAATCCTTACACACATTTGTACAATTAAATAGATCTGTCGCTGCCAGGGTTCTAGCTGAATGGTCAAGGACGTCTGGGATTTAGTGACACGCATTTTTCGGTGTAAAGCTACCAACAAAGTCTACAATCATTTTGAAGACAGTACTGCACTCATCTTCATGCAAGAGCAAAATTCACAGGTTCTAAAAGCAATGCTACTTAAAAAAACATTTCCTTATGTTGGATTGGCTCAAATCCAGGTCTCTAAACATGCTTAATTTTGATCTGCCTTCACTTTTGGACGGTAATGTTTCTATTCCACACCTTCTTCCCCTTCCATCGGGTTTTTCACTGGGGAACTTTTTCCTTGTGTGTTTCTGTGTATTTTGGCGCTTTAAGCCCTGACAATGAGGGATTGTCAGCAGTAGTTACAAGCATGCCAGGTTTCCAAAACCTCGGATTCTCGTGCATAGAAAGGATATAGGTCGTGTTGAGTAATTCCAGAATGGATTAAAGGCAATAAGACAGTTGGAGGCTGGATAGTTGTGGGTATATATCAATGGGGCAGAAGAGAAGCAATGCTGAATTAATGAAGTTTTGCAAAATTGGCTCAGATGCGCTAAAGATGTTTTTCCATGAGTGCTGCGTCAACTTCTAACGTTGGAACCCCAAACCCAGTCTGTGTATAGAGTATACTGTGGTGCCAATGAGCCAACACGGAGAACCCTGACCTGGAAAAAAAATGGCATTCGTGTTGGCAATCCTAGTAAGTCTGCATACGTCTCTAGCATCACACAGGCTCTCAAGAATCCACCACCATTAGCATCTACAGAAAGGTTTTCCCCCACAAAGAGCTAGTTGCAGAAGCACCAAGTGCCCATCAGAGGGCCCGGCAAGTGCACTGCTTAGAACGCAGATGCTCCTGATCTCCAAATCTCCCAGGAACCTGGATCTCCATTTCTTTGAACATCAGGAGAGGGGGTTTAGGGCTTTTAACATTCCTCTTCCACACCCCATCTCATTCTTGCCCGGAAACAGTGTCAAGTGGGATGCATATGTTTTGTTTTTTCAAGAGAGTCGAATGCCATGAAAGGGGAAATTTACAGAGAGAGGAAAGGACTTGGACATTCGAAGACTGACTTCTTAGGAGTCCATGAAAACAGAGGCATCTTCTCCAAATCCTGTCTCTCAAGTTCTGTGGGGCTTTATACCTCTGTACCGAACCAGGCAACCAAAGAGGAGGGGAGTGTATGGCTCTGTCAAGGACAAATTCCAAAGGGGCCCCTTGGTTAAGAAAGTCACGTGGCTTTGGCTCTTCCTGAAGGTGAGATACTTCTTCCTGGGGATGCTCAGAGCCTGAGACACACTAAAACACGGGAGTTCTCTGCATGGCTCAGGGGAGAATGTTGAAAGCTAATGTGAATTTTTAAAAAATATTCCCCAAGAGTGAACACCGAAAGGGACACATATGTTCAGACAGCAGCTGAGAATGAATTGATGGGTTTGAGTATTCACGTACATGCATGTACTGTAGTCTTAAGTTACATGTTCTTGCCCGTGGGTCAATAAAATGATGGAAAAAGATGGGGATGTAGGATGGGGGATAAGAATCTAGGTAAGTAACTGCAATAATAATCACACACCTTTATAACTCGTTACTACAGGTTTGCATCATTTTCATTTTACATCAGGAAGAGAAATTCTTCCCTTCCAAAAAAAAAAGGGTCTTAATTTCTACCTCAACTTCTACTTACAATAAGTTACACGTTTATTTATTTAAATAATTGTAAAACATTTTAAAATTTTTCCCTTTTTTTTGTTCGTTTTTTTTTCTTTTAAAGAGATTAAACTATAAGCAAACACACATACAACATTTCATCATTCAATTCAGGTTTCATTTTAAGAAAGTCTTCCATGCTGGTACCCTGTTTTGTTCAATTTTTTTTTCTGCATAAACTAAATTGGTATCTGAAAGGCTTCATAGAAAATAGAAACTTTCAACATTTTTTTTCCTACAAACAAAAACAAATAGTATCCAAAATATTAAGCATTAATCGTTTGCCAATTTTTTTTCTTAAATATTTTACAAACATAGGAAGGTGGTTTTCATAATGTTCATAACAAAGAATTGCATTTCTGCTCTGAGCACTGACTACGTCAATGACATGTTTTGTCCTTGTCCCCAGGAGGGTCAGTTTGTGCAGCCACCATCAGAGCTACCAGGGGACATGAGACCGAGTGAGACGCCGGCTCCTTGCCTACCCAAGTGTGTCCATCGTGTTCGTTTGGCGGGCAACACTCCCCCCCTGCAAAGAGCTCATAGTGCTTTCCTCGTTATTGGTCCATCAGAGTAAGTAGTTTTGTGCTATAACAAAGCAGTTCTTCCTCTTCTTTACATCGGCGGGACGACAAGTCCAGTCATGGCTAAAAGGAGAGAGTGACACAGGAATGAACCTTGGAGACCTTGTACGTTAAAGGCTACCACATAGATTGGGAGGCAGGGAATGGGTAAGGGCAGATGTGATCCAGAGAGAGGGTGCCCTCAGCTTATGTAGGAACCGATTTTCCCCAGGGATAGCCTAGGAGAGGAAATCACTGAAATGCAAACATTGTTGAAGTTTCGCGCGGGAGGCCAAGAGTGCTTGTTTTGTTTCATATTAATGGGTTGTATTACAATTTAGTTTGCATCTATTATCTCATCTATACATGTGGGATATATTTTTATTAGACTAAAATAATTTCCAGATTATACTGTTGCAGATCACTTAGTTGGACCAGGAAAGGAAACTCTAGGTGCTGACTTTTGGGCATCAATGTAACAAATCAAACCTTCTTCTTCCCATCCTAGATTTCTTTATATTCATTCTAGCGTAAATTTGTTTTGTTTTTAACTAGTTCATCTTCCTTTGGCACTAAAATCTGCAGTTCTCCAGCATGCAGCAGGTATCTTGTTCTTCAAGCAGCCCTTCCCTTTCATTAGCTCCTTGGGTACTTCTTAGCCACCCAGGAAGGAAGGGGCTGAGGAGTTTTAAATGCAATAAACAAAGTTAAGAAGCTGAGTCCAAATTCTACTGCCTGAGAGCTACACCCACATTCACTAATGAATCCTGACCCACTAGCATAGGAGACTTTAGTTCCTAATCTGGGAGTCTCCCCCATCCCCAGCCTTCATCCTCTCTCCAAGTGCAGTAATCTACCGTCTCCTCTCTCTAGTAAGAGGATGCAGACAATGCCTGTCTGGGTGGAATCATGTCCAAGGTGTCCCCTCGATGTGACAAATGAACACACAGCTGAATGTATTCCTCTGGCCTTGGCTTTCAGAGGACGGGCCCATAGAATTTTCGCCTCCTTGGAAAATGGCAGAATAGTTTCCTTACATCTAGGGGTTCTCAAATATCATAGAAGCATTTTGCTGAGTGGTGCTTACTAAATTTACAAGCAAATGGCTAAAATTCTCTCTCCCCCACTCCACACCAGCCAGACCTCTCAGGCAAAATTGTCAGCCATCTATTTCCCTGCCCATACAGCCTTTATTGAATGTTTGTGAGATCTGGATTAAGGTCTTACACAGCTAGCAAAGCCTTAATTATTTTTGCCTGTATTACTATATATTGAATCGATGTAACTTTTCAATAAAGGTGGTTCAATTCCGGACACTCCCCGATGACTTAGAGATATAGCAACCCTAGTAATTATCCCAGAGTGTAGGAGTTTTTTCATTTTATTTTTTCTCCTGGAGGGAGCTGGAAAATGAATCAGACACACAGCGTATGATATTATCTCGACAATCTATACTCATCAACTGTAAGTGCCTGATTGACGAGGCAGAAGGCGGGACCGTGAATGTGGGTGTAGCTCTCCGGCAGTAGAATTTGGACTTGTTTATTGCATGTAAAACTCCTTAGCCCATTCCTTTTCATGGGGGCTAAGAGAAAAGTACCAAAGAAGCTAATGAAAGGGCAGAGCTGCTAGAAGAACAAGACCCCCTGTGTGCTGGAGAACTGCAGATTTTAGATATTTCTCCTCTTCCTAGTCCCACATCCAGACTAGGGGGCGGGGGGCAGATCTCTGCTGGGTGGTGACCCTGACTTTTCACTTGTAGAAACCACAGCCAAGAGGCAGAGAGCAGATAATTAACTGGAGGTAAAAGTAAGCATTTTCATTGGGGGATGAGAGATACTTAGCTGCACTTTGTCCATTTCCTTTATCTTTGGCATTTCATGGGAAAGCAGTAATCAGTCTTTGGCCCAGGGGAGAAGTAGGTACGGGTAAATGGGCAGTGGACAGTCAGAGCACAGGCTCTGGAGCCCAAACGTCTGGGCTTCGGTTCAAGTCATCGGCCACTTGTTTGGCCTTGGACAAACTGCTTAACTAAAGATGGTGATGCTGGCATGCCATGAAAGGAATAGTTCGCGAAAGGCCGTGTTCAGCGCGTTGCCTGTAGGTAAGGGCAAGTCTTTGTCGTGTCCTCTGCAGAGGAGTGAGACCGTCTCGCCTTCCGAGGGTGTGCAGAAGCCCTCCCCCCCGTGATCTCATTTTGGCTCTCACCGCCTGTCCCTGCAGAGGGGGAGCTCCCAGCTCGTCAGGCCCCTGCCATCCCGGGACTGTGGAGGGTGCGTTAGACCTCAGCTTGGTTTCCTCCTAGGACGGGACATTGAACTTCCGTTCACCTGGCCCAAAGTGGGGAAGGGTAGAGGGCAAGACCTCTGAGGATAGCCTCATCCCTGCCTAGTTCTTCACAGCCACCTGTGGGGAGAGCTAGCGATTCTCTAGACTGAGCAGATTCACAGGGCCTGGAAGAGCCCGTCCAGGGGTTCAAACTCTAAGGTTTTACTCAGCGTCACTCTTTTGTTTCTCTACATATCACTTGACATTTTCACAGTTCTTTGCGAACTTGTTTAAGGCTACAGCCCTAAATTGGCAGGTGATTCTTTTCCTTCTCTGCCTTCCCCTCCTCCTTTTAAAGGTTCAAATCACCAGAGAAACGTAGAGGGAACTGCAGGATCCAAAAGGGGGTTGGGACGTCGCAGTGACTCCACAGCAATGAAGCTAGAGCCGCTGCCTTCGTGGAGCTGAGTCGCGGCTCCTGCAGCCACACCCCCAGCCGCCTGACCAGAAGTTTGCATGGCTGGGGACCCTGGAGGAGGTCTTCTGGCTATTACCAGGTACAATTGCCTTCCAGCTCTTCAGGCTGATTCAAACCTGACTTTGGTAACACGCAGGGAGCCCTGGGCATGTAGCAAGATGCAGAGTGAGGGTTACTGGCTGTGGGAGCCCATGAAAAATCTGTCCTGGCCGCCCTGGAGGGAGTCCCCCTAGACAGGACAGATGGAGAAGAGCTGAGATGACCCTCTCTGCTTCCTCATGACAGAGGCGGACGGGAGGGCTGGCAAGTGGAGGTTTAAGTGAAACTGAACATGTTTGCCAGGAGTGAGGATAGGGCTGCATCCCTCCTGCCGTGCCCCCTCACCGAAACGGTTATGGGGAAGGCAGAGACAGTGGATGTTCAGCCCTTGTGAGAAAGTTCTGGGCTCATCCCCTAATGATGGGAGGGAAACCACTGGCCTCTGACGAGACACTTAGCTGCAGGCTGAGCCTGCTTCTTCATGGGTTAGACATGTGGATAGAAACCACTGCATATTTGATGGCTTTTTTGTTTCTAACTACCCCCACACATTGGGTGGCATGTAGAGCCAACAGCTGTGTCCACTTGGAAGTAAAGCGATTCTTCCAAGTGCTGGGTTTTCAGCTCTGGTTTTGACAGTTTCTGTTAAGTCGGTTAACTTCAAGGAGATGCCGTCGTCTCCAACAGGAGGATGGGACAGGACCCTAATGGGCCTCCCAAGCCACCAGGCAGATGCCGTCCCAAGGACAGCACAGCCCCCTCCCCCTCTGCTGACCTCACAGGCTTTAACCGAACTTCTGCCTTTCCTGGTTTATCCAATGCTGCTCGTCGTGAATGTTTTCATCTCGAGATATGAGGAACAGCCTAAAAATAACATGGGGTGCCACTGCTCAGCAATCTGCTCCTCTGCCGTCAGCTACCTCCCCTCTACCACAAGATGATCAGATTCTCATGTACTCAGCACATTTGTGTTACGTCATGTCATTTTATATTTTAGGACATTGCTCAAAAATGGGTGTGATGGGTGATATTAATTTTCATCCTCAGAAACAGTGTGCCTTTTTCTCTCTCTTTCCTCCCCTACCGCTGATCAGGCACCTGCTATCCACTTGACCAGCGTGCAACCAGAATTCTTGGAACTCGCTGGTCTCTGTCTGTACCTGCCAAGGGAACGTGCATGCACTGAGGATGGAAAACCGATCAGGGGAGCAGTCATCACTGTGTGGCATCTGATGGGGTAACAGGGCAAGTTCTGGGAAACAGCATAGAGCTAGGAATCCTGACCCTCCTGGATTGTATGCATGCCTCTGCGACCCGTGGGGTTTCCCCCCATCTTGCTGTTAGAGCACTAGCCCAGTTGCACTCCACGCCTCAGGATGAAAATGCCGGGGCATCTCTTTGCAGGGGAAATGACTGGGGCTACGACCTGATGCTGTTTACTCTTGCTTGGTGGCCCATGGGCCATGCTTACTCTCGCAGTGTTACCTCCGCTTACCTCTGAATCCGTTTCCATTGCCGCTGGAGCAGGCGGGGGAAGGGGAGCCCTGGGGCCTGATGACAGGGGCAAAGGCACTCTTCTGTTTGACAGCAGGAAAAACTGAAGAGGAAAACGGGAGGATGGAGGACGTGCTGGAAGATCCGACGGTGGGACTCGATGACATGACTGGAAAGCAAACGCACAATCAATCCTCCTTTAGTGACGGGGCTGGTCTGAATGTTAAGGTCTTTCTCTAGTATGCACATTTGGCACACGGTTACCGAAAAATTATTAATTTCCAGGCATTGATCCAGATTGCAGAGATTAAAAAATTGCAACAACATTCCCACCCTGTCCAGTGGGAGGAACAGACACAACTAGTACAGTAATGATCCTATTAGAGGAGTGTACACAATGCTAAGGCGATGGGCATCAGCAGTGACACTGGAACAGGTCTTAATTCATGAGTAGAAGTCTGGCAAGAGAAGACAGAGACCCAACGTGTCTGAAAAAAAAAAAATCATCCTATCTACCCAGCAATGAAAACTGCTTAGTCACCCTCAAAAGAAGTCCTATCTGGGAGCTATGTGCCTCCCCGGTAACTCCTGTGACTCTGGGGGTTTGGCCTGGAGGGTTAATATCTTCTCTGAAAGTGCCATCTCTGTGGGCCATTTCCTCATTAAATGTAAAAGTTTATTAACATGTAGAGGATTGTTTCTCTCCCCCTGTACTTTCAGGGCTCTTGGGAAATAAAACTACAAGTCAGCCTCCCCTGACATAATCTTTAGGGGGGAAGAAAACACCAACATTAACATTAAAATGACTTAAGGGAAGCCAAAAGCTAAATGTCACAATTTCCAAGAAAAATAAAAGCAATGAAGTGCCCCACCGAGTTACATCATGAGAGAAGATAATTCTGTCTTCTATGTTCAACTTGCTCAAGAAAGGGGTAAACTAGAGTTCACAAGGGTAAAAGTCTTAGCACCTTATAGTACAAGGTCAAGTTTTAGGGACTCATTTGACCATAATTCCCAGAATTCAGAACTGTCCAAGTCCCATGACTTGGTAAAAGAATTATTGGAGGCTAACGGCAAAGCCCAGGATGAAGGTTTGCAGTGCCGCTGACTCCAGAGGACCAGCTACCCCACCAAATAAATTTTGAACGTGAGATCCTGAGTGAGCCTTAGGATTGAAACACTCCACCCTCGTTCGCCTCTCCCCAGGAGGACATAAAAGAATTGTTGTTTCAGAGTTGAATAAGCCCATGCCCATTTTAAATGTTTTGCAAAAAATTTTGTAAAAATGACATCCAAATTAATTTAAAATTTAATGCAGCTATTATAAAAATCCTAAAAGGAACTTTAATAATTTGCGTATTTCAACAATTTGTGTTTACCTGTTTTGAAAAACAGTAACTATGAAAGAGCTATAAAGTTTTCAGATATCAAAATGATAAATTTACACTAGTGAACCCAGTGTTGGACTTGCATAGAGACAAATCTTTAGAGCAAAACAGAGTCCAGACACAGACCTGCATGTAAATGAGAATTAATACTTAATAAAGGCAATATTTTATATTAGTGGGCAAGTAAATGCATGGAAAAATACACTAACCATTTGGAGACTAAATTTAGAGTACTTCCTTATGTTAAACACCAAAGTAAATCTAAGTAGATTAAAGAGTTGTTTGTAAAAGCAAAATTATAAAAGTGCTGGTAGAAATATTAGGACAGTTATAGAGTTTGTATAATCCTTTCAACCTCAAAGCCTAACTAGAAGCTCACAGATAGATTTGCCACATAATGGAAAGCTTCTGTAGCACATACAAAAAAGGTAAATGACAAATTAAGAAAAATATTTGCAATCCTTTAGATATGTTCATATCCTTAATAGCTAATAAGTTTTCATAAGTTAATTAGAAAAAGAGTAGCACCCTGATAGAAAAATAGACAAAGGACACAAAAAGTCTGGAAAAAGAGAAATGAAAATGTCCAAGAGACCCATGCAGAAACACTCAAACCGATTAGTAATAAAATGTTAATTAAAACAGTAACAAGATGTTATTTTCCACTTACTAAATGGATAAAGATTAAGAAAAAATTAACAGGGCGGGGAAACATACTCTTTCTTTTCTGAGGGGAGAATTAACCTCTCTAGAGGGACTTTGGCAATATATATCAAAGTATTTTAAAATGTGCATATCCTTTGACCCACTAATTTAATCTCTAGAAATTAATTCCAAGGAGATAATCATGAATCTGCCAAAAATAATAGATTCAAGGGCATTTTTATAATAATGAGAAATTGGAAAATAACTTAAGTGACCCACAATAGGGTAAATTATATTATGCCTGTACAATAGAATGCTATGCAAACATTAAAACTAACATAATATTGTAAACTAATATTTAATCACATGGAAATATGTGCCCCCTCATATGAAAAGGGTGGATTACATAATAACATACGTCAATCCCATCTGTATATTTAAAAATGCACATAGCAAAAGTCCAGAAGAATGGGACACATATCCAAACTTTCAGTGATGGTATCTCTGGCTGATGTGATTATGAATATCCTTAAATTTATTCCTTTTATCCCTATTTTCAAAATTTTCTACAATGAATATGTAGGAGAAACCAGTAAAAGCCATTACATTTTTCAAAAGAGAAGAAATAGAAACAATAAATATAATCCTTAGCACTGAGCTTAATAGTTTTTGGGGTTTTTGTGACAGGGTCTCACTCTGTCACCCTGGCTAGAGTCCAGTGGCATCATCATAGCTCACTGCAACCTCAAACTCCTGGGCTCAAGCCATCCTCCTGCCTCAGCCTCAGGTGGTACATACCTGTAGCTGGCACTACAGGTACGCACCACCACAACTGGCTAATTTTTTTATTTTTTGTAGAGACGGGGTCTACCTCTTGCTCAGGCTGATCTCGAACTCCTGACCTCAAGCAATTCTCCCACCTTGGCCTCCCAGAATGCTAGGATTACAGGCATGAGCCACCACACCTGCCCAGTGTTTTTGAATCATTTTCCCTCTACCATTTTACTGCCTATAAACAAAGTTGTTTGCTAACCCTTCTGATACAAAAAAAAAAAAAGACTAATAAATTCTCAAATTCCTAGGAGCTTGATGACTGTGGTCAACTTTGAAAGCAAATGTCATTCCTAATATTTGTTCTCCATTCTTAGGACGTGAGTCTTGCAACACAGGATTTTATGGAGCCTGGCTTCCTACCTATAGCTTGGGAATTTTACCACTTCCACCCTGTCTTTCATTGGTCTCATGGAAGAATGTCATTGGTTGTGCATCACAGCAGATGCTGAAGCTTTCGAAATGTATCTATCCATGTCTCGAAGGCTATCCTAAAGTTAACAATGGCTCTCTCTGCATAAAATAGAGTGCACCATTTTCTTTTTCTTTTTACCTACACACACTTTGCAAATTGTCTGTCATGCAACTATGAACTATAGTAATAGGATTTTTTTTCCCAAAAAAAGTGCAATCAAAATGTTAAAAAGAGATTGTTTCTTTCAATGAGAGCATGCTTTCTTTAAAAATTATTTTCCTATGTTAATCCATTATATATAGCACATTATTTCATATGTGCTATATTTTCTATAACATTTAATCTTTTATAATAGAAAGTATCTTGCTATTTATTTTTGAAAATATAAAAAATGTCAAAGCCCAGGGCATTATATCTCAGACTCTGTAAGTGAAGTAGGAGCCCTTGAGGTCGGGTCACAGGTTGGATTCCTGCCTGCATGGACTCTGTCCAAACTGTGCATCGCTGGTGGCTGTTCTGCTTTGGAAGAAGTGGTCCCGCGGGTGCTGCAGGCTTGTGGAGTAGACCGTCTTTGGGGACGGCAGAGCGCACCATTTTAGGAAAGTTGATCACACATATTTCCAATTGAGAATTTCTCTGGACATCTCTCTATGGACAGAGGCCAAAGGCAAGGCAAGCACATCTGGCCCAGAAATCTATGTGAACACGGGGAGTTAAGGAAAAACCACTTTTCTTCTTACAAGGATTGATTGGCTTACACGGTCCCAGCTGGAAGTCACCGCACATATCCTCCTTTGCATTGAGCCATTGCATTTGTTGGCGCTAAGGGTCTGTCAGCATTTCATTATAACCCCTATTGTCAGGGGTTTAGAATTCAGCCATAAAAAAAACTTGCACTGAGCTGGAACTTGGCACACACTGCTACCGCCAGGAAGTGAAGTTTGTATGTAAAATTGAAAAAACATCTGTTGGCCATTTTGGAAATAGTGTGAGAGCAAAAGCAGTCAAGATGCAGGTTTTTGATACTCTACGTTGGCCGTAATGCAAGTCGAACTTGACCGAGAGGCTTGGCTCTATTTCTTTTAAATGTGTCTGGCAAGTGATGGCTCCGTGGCATGGTCCGGGCGTATCAGACGCGTTGCAAACATAATATGAAAGTCACAGGAATGGTTTTCAGACACAGCA